TTCTTTCTCGTGTTACCGCCAGTTTCGAGGTTTAACGCAAGAGTATTGGCAACGGCGACACAAGGTCTTCCCCAGCCACGCCCAATTTGAGTGGCAAGTCCAATTACGCAAGCCAAACTTCTACGATATAGAGTCTAGCGAGGTGAAAAAGCGACAGAGACCTTGTACGCAATGGGACGAGACTCATACGGCGCGCCAAGCCTCTCTTACCTGGCTCCTCTCAGACTGACTGTCTATGGCTTTGTCGTATCAGGTCTATTCACGTCGGACGTGTCAGATATCCTATCAGCTGCCATCAGTTTAATAGTTCCAAGGAACAGCGTAATGAATCCCTGACGTATCTTGAAGCACCCAGCCTCAAGTCATGGATCGTCTACGACGCCGTGGAGACTCGACCGGGATTGTACTACCTCGCGATGTGCCACCCCCAACTGAAGCATCTAGGCATTCTCTGGATGTTGGATAACCGCCTAACTATTCCCCACATTAGAGTCTTTCCGGGTGATCGTAGGCCACGAGGTGCTTCCTCGGCAGAGCTTGTCGTGCTCCTGGAGCGAACTTAACAGTGTGGCCGTCACAACTCTCGCGATCCACGACCTATCTACCAAGTCAAATTCAATTGACAGCTTCTGCCACAGTGTGAAATATACGTTTCCCAATCTGCGCGTCCTGCGCCTCGAAGGAATCCGTCCCGCGAGTCTACGACTTCATTCGCCGACACGGCACCCTGCGCGAAGTCGCAGCGAGCTTTGAGCTAGGACATCATAGGTTGCTTCGCTTGGAGGCCTTGATCAAGTTGATTCAAGGGAGAGTACACACAGGGAACTGGGTATATTCAAAACACGAACCGCACCTCGTTCTGGATCAGCCTAGCTTCGATGAGTATGCTGTCGGCTGCCCAATTCCTCCCGACTTCGATTTTAGCTGGGGAGCCTTCTATGATTTCGTGTTCTCACGCGTACCCCTGCCAGATGGCGAAATCACCGATCCCCAGAAGCCCCGCTACAAATGGACTGGACTGGCGATTCAATTCTTTGAAATAGTTCGTGTTTAAAGAATCTTTACACTGATCTAATCGTACCGCTTGCTATCGATGTGCGCGCCCAGACAGCGCCAGGGCTCCTACCCGCAGCGCGGGAAATGTCCAGCGGACACCTAACCGGAAGAGGTCTCGGTTGCGCTGCCACTGACGTGAGTGGCGAATGGCGCGTGCCGAGTGGGACCCCTCTTCGAGGAGTACGCAGAACGCGGGACAGTTAGGGGTGCAGCGCACCTCTTCTCGTCTCTCATCTCGGCTACTCTAAGGTTGGTTCTCTTGCACAGCGTGCATCTTTTCTCGTCTCTCATCTCGGCTATCTTATAGGCTTATTTGGCTTACCCTCCCTCCCTCCCTTGTTTTTGTTTTATGGTCGTGTCTTCGTCACTCTGTTGTAACTCTACCGTGACTGTCGGTGCGTTTGCCTTTACTGTCCTTCGCTGCCCCACCATCGTCGCGCGTGGACGCCTACGGAATTGACTTAAGGCTGTCCTCCCGGGGACAACCGGATTGCGCGATTGCGCGTAAACTCCGTGTTTGACATTGCAAACTCGCAGCGAGTTCCTCTCACATCTTCAGGTGAGACGGCAGCGATCAGACGACGATATCGAGCATTTAACTGCGCAGCTGCCGCCCGACGTTACCGCGTTTTTAGGCGAGATACCTGAGTGTCTTCTGGACGTTCAATAATTACGTCTCTCGTTCGCTATCAAGCAAGATCCTCTGTTTCCCTTCGACGACGTCATGCCAGTGAGTAGCCTTGAGTCTTTGTTGTTACCGCTCATCCCCGCCCCCATAGGGCTCCATCACAAAACAAATTAAGAATTGGCCAAACGTACGAAAGTTGACGCTACATTGGCTATTTGACGGTGCCTACTGGCAGTGCAAGCACGTCAATGATCGCTGGGAGCGCGAGAATGATGAGCTTTGCGAGTTATACGATTGCATAGATATTCCTTTCCTCGACTGGCTGACACCTCCTTTCTACTGCAAAACCGGCGAGGCGATGTCCCTTTCTCGCCTGCATAGCGAATACGCTCTTGACGACCTCGAACTGGAGCGCCTTGAAGACACCATACGGACTGTCTTGTGCCTGGACGATACAGTAGTGCTCCACTGGATATGGACGATCCGAATCTGCTTTTCTGGGCATGGGAAGCACGGAATTACCCCTTGGTTACCAGGGTCGTGCGCCAACTAGCAAAGACGAATCTCGCCCTCGAAGAATACGAATGGTTTGTCACCGAGGATGCGGATTCTAAGGTAAATGTCGTTCTATGGAAATGGCGTATCTCTAGGCATCCCGATGGCTCTGTGAGGAGCGTGGACGGACATTTGTGGTGGACTGGATGTCCTCGAGGCGACCCGCCGGCGTTCTCGGCTTTTGTGGCCAGGAACTCGAACATACTATCCGGGATGCCGAAGGTCGCTGGCGGTTCTAAGAGTCTCGTCCGCAATTTTCTTGGCTTGGGATTTGAAGCTTGTAAGGTGTGTAATATCACCTTGTGGCGAAGTCATTGCCAATGCCGTTACTGAGCCGTCGCTGCCTCGATAGACTCGAAGAGATTGCCTCGGAGGACGAGGATTTAAATGACAACATCAAATGAGAACGATGTTTACTCGCTATTGTTCCTGCTCTCTTTCTCGTACTTACGCGGGATGCTGAAGGATGCTTCTGACAAACTGAGACATGAGCAAGCAATGTACAGTAACCTCGACGTACGGGGGATAACTTAATAGCAACCGGTCGTAGTCAGTGCGCATCACTTCGTCATGTTAAGCTATTTTTTAAGCAGCAGGGCAGCAAAATGCAACAGCGAGGGTTCAATGACCTTCCGAATGAGTTGATCCACGAAGTCTTCGAGTACGTGGACGTAGCACGGCCCAAATACCCACCGAAGAACAGGGCGGAGGATGTATTTTATATTCTTGCACGCCTCAGTCGTCGCATGAAACCAATAGCGCTGAATTTTGCAAGGCGGCATCGATACTTCAAGAACATCGACGAGTTTGAAGACTTTCAGCAAGAGATAGATGCTTGGAGCTCCAGGAATTATGTTGAAGAAGTGGAAGAATGTGAAAACTTCAAGGTGACAATGTATGCTCCCATCCCTTTTTAACATCCTCGTTATTGTTCGTTCACAACTCATGTCGGTATCCGAACCTAGGACTATCTGTATTGGCCGTGTTCCATACCTTTACGGCCTGTACACGTTCGATCGCTACTACGACAAGTTCTTTTTCAGCTGGGACTGGTTCCAATGGCCTAATCTTGTCTCATTCGAATGTGTTGATGCCGTGACAACTCCTGGATACAACTTTGAGGCCCTTTCCGCGTCCTCTTCCGGGCTGCGAAACCTCGTCTTGCTCTGGCGATGCAACCTGCTATTCCCAGAAATCGGCCCCTTCCCCAAACTGAAGACACTACGGCTGTTCATGGTAGATGTAGACAGGAACGGCACTCTTCGTCCGTCGCCACCTATTGGGACCTATGGCAGCCTTCGCACGCTGGCGATCCACGAGCTATACTCCTTCGATGCCATTGAACGCTGCTGTCGCGGACTCTCATTTCCCAACCTGCGCGTCCTGAAGCTAACATACGTCGAAGGTCAACCATCAATAATTTACGACTTCGTCCAACGCCACTCTACACTCCTCGAAGTGAATATATGCTTCTCAAATACATGGGACGAGGCTTCGCCGTTGCGACTCGAGGCTCTGCTCAAACTCATCGACGGTACAGGCACATGGGTTAGACCGAGCGAAGGCAGCGGACTCCCGGTGGACCAGCCTTCCCTCAAGGACGTGGACGCGCAGTCGCCTACTAGGCCCCCATCCTGGAAGGAGTCGTATGGTGTTTTCTATGAATTCGCATTCTCCCGTCGCCCGTTGTCTCCAGAGGCATCCCGCTGGCGGTCGTCCACCGGTTCTCCGCACGCAAGATTCAAGTGCACTGCCTTTGCGGTCAACTGGATTTGGCCCGGCGCTAATGAGGCCGCACATGCCCAACCTCGAACGGAGCATGTACTCACGGATCCCGTCGAGTTTGTTTGTAATCCGCCACACTTCCAAGACCACTTCTGGAGCGATGTACAGCAGCTTCGGCTCGCTTCGGAGTTGATGAGGAATCGAGAGATAGACTACCACGGCATAATGGTAAGTGTTCTTTGTCTGTGGTGGGTGTTTTCACACTCACGAGAAGCGCATTAATAGCGTCTGATTGCGGAAAGCCTTAGCCTCAAATGGCCCAGGCTACGCTGTCTGGCGGTGTATTGGCCCAAAGACGAGTGCCTTTGGCATCTCCCCCATTCTGACGAGCCGGAAGACTCCACCGCGTGTCGCAAGAACGCAACGCTGTTCCTTGAAAAGGTTTTCCCGCCTGCCTTCGAGTTTCTCGGAACTCGACCTATATACCCGCGCGAGGAGGATCCTCGTCTTGAAGACGCAGTGAAAGAGGTTCTGCAGCTTCCGAAGGACGCCGATCTGGACAAGGGCGATCCTGATTTGCTTCTCTCTGCCTGGAAAGCGAGGAATTACGTTGTCGCATCGGAAGGCATACGGCTCTTGGCCTCCGCGCACAAACTGCTCGAAGAGGTCGAATGGTATGCGGCTCAGGATTTAGAATCTCGCGGCGTGCTCCGGTGGGTCTGGAAGATCTTGCGGCATCCGGATGGGTCAGTGAAAGACGTCGTGGACGACCTGTCATGGACAGGATGTAAGAAAGGGAGCCCTCCGCCGCTATTGGTGTTGGTAGGGCAGGAGCTGGAGTTCGCTTACCGGGATGCTGAAGGGTCCCGGAATGACACCAATTTTTCT